GGATTAATGTTGAAATGAGTTAAGACTTTAGGGAACTTTTGGGAAGGCATGATTGGTTTTGAAATGTGAGGACATGAGATTTGGCAGGGCCAGAGGTGGAATGATATGGTTGGGCTCTGTGTCTCCACCCAAATCTCATCTTGAATTGTATTCCCATAATTCCCACATGTTGTGGGAGGGACCCAGTGGGAGATAATTTGAATCATGGGGGTGATTCCACCATACCATTCTTGTGATAATGAGTAAGTCTCACAAGATCTGATGGCTTTATTGGGAGTTTCTGCTTTTGCATCTTCCTCATTTTCTCTTGCTGCCACCATGTAAGCAGTGCCTTTTGCCTCCTGCCATGATTCTGAGGCCTCCCCAGCCATGTGGAGCTGTAAGCCCAATTAAACTTCCTTTTCTTCCCAGTCTTGGGTATGTCTTTATCAGCAGCATGAAAATGAACTAATACACTGTGGTTATGTACTATGGTCATATGATATAGTTCATATTTGTGGAAGCTGGGTGAAGAGTAGATGGGGAGACCATGATTTTTGCAAAAGTTTAAAGTTATTTCTAAATTATAAGTTTAAAAAGAAGAAATCACATAAGCCATAACACAATGGAAAGATGTCTTTTTCTATTATAAATACGCATGCACACGTATGTTTATTGCGGCACTGTTCACAATAGCAAAGATTTGGAACCAACCCAAATGCCCAATGATAGACTGGATAAAGAAAATGTGACACATATACACCATGGAATACTATGCAGCCATAAAAAAAAGATGAGTTCATGTCCTTTGCAGGGACATGGATGAAACTGGAAACCATCATTCTCAGCAAACTGACACAAGAACAGAAAACCAAACACCACATGTTCTCACTTATAAGTGGGTGTTGAACAATGAGAACACACGGACACAGGGAGGGGAACATCATACACTGGGGCCTGGGGGTGGGGGTCTGGGGAGGCATAGAAGGGGGTGGGGGGATTGGGGAGGGATAGCATTAGAAGAAATACCTAATGTAGATGACGGGGCGAAGGATGCAGCAAACCACCACAGGGCATGTGTATACCTATGTAGCAAACCTGCACGATCTGCACATGTACCCCACAACTTAAAGTATAATAAATAAATAAAATGAAATAAAATAAGTTCAAGGCAGGAGGGATGTATGGAAACCAGTGAGAAATTTGCCCCTGTTTGTGCATGTGCATGTGTACACATGTTGCAAGGACTTGGAAAGCCCTTTTTTTCTACCTCTGTACTACTGTAGGAGGAGGCTAAACTTGACCTCTTCCCATCTTAGTTCTTTGTGGGGGTGGACTCCTGTAACAAGGGACAGACAAAAGAAAAATAAGTTTATAACATGTGCTATGCACTTCACGCAGGAGAAACCTGCATGGAAAGTAACTCAAAATGGTGCCTTAGAACTCCGCTTAATTTTGATAAAGAGCAACAAATCAGTAGGAAAATCATGGCATCGGACAAGGGTAGTGGTTTTATTCTTCCAAGGGCAGGAAACCACGGAATGTAAACATATGGGAGGAAACTGAAGGAATAAGCCTTGTTTGCAGATTCCTCTGGATTGATGAGTCTAGAGTCATCTCCAATACAGGAGAACTTTTATCTGTCTTTAGGCAGAAAGGGGGAAAGAGAGAAAACATTTTCTCCATTTGCTGCTGCTTAATTACCTTCCATTCAAAAATAATTTTTATATCAGAAAGGCATATTTGGGGGTATATTAGTCTATTTTCACACTGCTAATAAAGACATACCCAAGACTGGGTGATTTATAAAGGAAAAGGAGTTTAATGGACTCACAGTTCTACATGGCTAGAGAGGCATCACAATCATGGTGGAAGCTGAAAGGCACATCTTACATCACAGCAGGCAAGAGAGAGAATGAGAGAGCCAAGTGAAAGGAGTGTCCCCTTATAAAACTATAAGATCTCATGAGACTTACTCACTACCAACAGAAGAGTATGGGGGAAACCACATCCATGATTCAGTTATCTCCCACCAGGCCCCTCCCACAACATGTGGGAATTATGGGAACTACAATTCAAGATGAGATTTGGGTGGGGACACGGCCAGACCATATTGGGGGTAACATAGTCTGGTTTCCTTTACTACCCACCTATCCAAGCGCCCCGTTCATCTGATCCACACAAAGTAAACTCTTCCAGTACTCTCACTGTTTCCTGGAGTCTGCGTTTGGCCTCATAGGACTGCCCCAACCTGTTTTTCAGATGTTTACCCCTGTAGTCTCTGGACAAATTTGCTTCAGAAAACCATCAATGTCACCCTGAAGAGTGGCTTTCAGAAGTTGTGCCTCTTGTCTGAGGGGAGTTCCAGGAAGGGTTCTGAGTCACCTCTGAGTTTATTTGGGTCACCAGAGGCCTTCCTGTCAGAGCTTTCCCAATCATTTTTGGCCAAGGCATATGAGAAGCTAAAGCCCATAACAGCTGGAAGTCAGATGGCCTGGTCTATTCTGCTTCAACTCTAGCAGGAAAGGCCTTCCTGGTGAGACCTGAATATCCTCCTTTGTAAAATCAAAGCCTGGGGACAGGGTTACTTACTTCTGAGGTTCAGTCTGGCTCTAAGAGTATGCAACAAATGCCATTCATGTAGCACTTCCTTCCTACCAGGCGAGGTACTAAACTCCACAAGCACCATCTCAGTTCATCCTCCCAGAAGTCAAAACAGCTCAGCTGGGGGAGCCCCATTTTACAGATTGGGGAACTGAGGCTGAGAGGTTAGGTAGCTTGTTCGGGCTCATGCTGCTGGTGAAAGAGCTCAAGCTACTGTGCTATGCATGGAGTTTTCTCATTTTCCCATCTAACTAGAGGGCTGAAGATCAAAGGGTTGGTGGCTCCCTTGCTGGGAGTTGTACAGGAATAATGCCCTTGCTGAAGGAGGAGGACTTCTGAACCACACCCTGGGGTCTGGGGCTCACAGATATTGCCTTAGGGGCAACATCGTCCACTCCTTTCCTGGTTCCTCAGTGCTGCTAAGATATTCATAGGCCAGAGTCTGAGTTCTGGCCATTTAACAGAGGAAGAAAGGCTGGCTCAGTGAGGTTAATTATATCCCAGCAGCTAGGGATTGGGAGCAGAGAACCTTAGATTCACACCAGGGCAGGAGGCAGTGGCCTGGCTGAAGCCTTCACAATCTTTCCAATATACTCTGCTGCCTTCCTTTATAAGGATCCATTTCTGAAACCCTGTTCCCTGGCTGGGCATGGTGCCTCATGCCTGTAATCCCAGCATTTTGGGAAGCCGAGGTGGGCAAATCACAAGGTCAGGAGTTTGAAACCAGCCTGGCCAACATAGTGAAACCCTGTCTCTACTAAAACTACAAAAATTAGCTGAGCGTGGTAGTGGGTGCCTGTAATCTCAGCTACCTTGGAGGCTGAGGCAGGAGAAACATTTGAACCTAGGAGGCAGAGGTTGCAGTGAGCTGAGGTTGCACCACTGTACTCCAACCTGGGTGACAGGGCAAGAATCTGTTTAAAAAAAAAAAAAAAAAAAAAGACAACTCTGTGCACTCTCAGGCTCTGCTCAGACATTTAGCAAAACAGACACCTTCTCAAGCCTGGAGGAGGCAGTCCCTGCCTTTTGGGAGCCCACAAGCCCTCAGCTGCAGAGCTCGACGTGGATGGGCAGGCCAAGTCTAGCTCCTGTGCATGGTGTGAGCCCAGCCTGCCCTTCTACACCCTCACTTTCACCTCTTAAGGAACTGCCAATCAATAGAGCAGGTACTGCCCAAAAGGAACACTCTGGAAACCTGTTGGGACACTTCTGCTCTTCATAAAGGTTTGGGGGGTGTACTAGTACCATTTAAGGATTCAGGGTTGACAATGCCAACCAAACATACCAGAACACGCAGGGTGGTAAACCATGACGAAGAGGTCACCGGGTCCCACAGGACTCACATGTCCACCTGGAAGTTCTCAAGTTCACATGGAATTATCTGAGCCTAGACCTCAATCCTGGAGCTGCTTTATTTCATATAAAAATTACAATATTTATCCAAGTTTTTACTACACACTGCATTTTCTGTGAAAACAATGACCATGTAAATCAGGGAAAGATCTATATTTTATTTTGTCTGAAACTTTACCATGCATTATTTACCATTTTGAAACTATCCCTGGTAGTTACACTGGTTGCTACATTGACTGGCCAGCAGCGAGCAGCACACACACGGCCTCCCATGGCATCACATTGGCCAGCCTCACTGCACCTGCCTGGACCCTTAGGCCACAGCACTGCCATAGTCAGGGACACATTATTCTCTTTTATTATGCCTCCATATTCTCCTTAGAGCATTTTTTTTTTTTAATTTTGTGGGTAGGTTATATTAGCTATACATTTCACTTCAAGCATAGTAGTAAGGGGCACGTAACAAAATATTTAGCTATAAAAAAGAGGATCTGAGAAGACTGAGAAGTTTTTCCATAAAGGGTCTCCACCAGCCTCGACTCTGGGTAGCCAACAATTCAATCTCGAGTCTAGCAACATTGTGAAGCAGGAAATTTACCTTGAAAGGAGCTATGTACTCTAAGTAGTGATGTACCTTGTCTGCCTCCCCCACTGGACTGGCCAGCTCCTTGGGGGCTGAGAAAGCAAGTCTCAAAACATCTCTGCTGTGCCCCCCAACCCATACCCCCATCATGTCCAGTACCGGGTTGGGGACTCAGGAAGCATCTGTGGGATCCCCTAGTGCCTTCGTTCTAGAGCTGTTCAGCACCCATAACAACCCAAGAGAAATCCCCCACACCCCACCCACAAGGAGCTGAATCTCACTGAGGCCAAGCCTTGAGTTGCAAGACAGAAGCCCTCGGGATGGGATGTGGGTCATGCTCCAGGTTATAGGAGGAACTGGTGGGTACAGGAAGCCTCCCACTTGGTCTTTGGTTTTTGGAAATGCCACCGTCACAAGCAGGATGTTAATCAGTAACCATCCCACGGAGGATCATACTTTGGAATAGCAAATATTTGCTGAAGGTTCTGGGCTGCAAAGCTGAAGCTTTGGTTTTTGCTCTGAATGAAGGACCTTCCCAGGACCCGAAGCCACACACTGGTAAGAGGTGGTGGGTTACAGGAGACCTTCAAAGAGTCTAACCAGAAGGGACTGGGAGAGATGTTCTCATCTCTGGGTGGGCACCAAGGTAAGGGCTATGTGGCTGAGCAGTGCAAAGGCCTCCATCCGCACTCCATGGGGACTGCACATCCAGACTGGGGGCTGGAGTGGGACGAGAGGCAAATTCTAGACACAAGGGCCTCCTCTGCAGGAAGGAGGCCAAAGGAAAGAGGTTGAAAGGCTTGACATTTCACCCACTGCAATTCACTGCCAGAGTGAACAGGCCTCCCCTTCCCATGGCTGAGGAGAGGTGGGCGTGTGTGCTATCCCAGGGCTGAGAAGTGGGCAGTGTCATTCAGACTGCAGAGTGAGGCTCTGATTTCCGGAGTGCCCTTCAGCATAAGCAAGAAGGCAGTTTTGTCCCAGGCATAGATATGGACTCAGCCCCTGCATCAGGAAGAGGCCTGGGAGCTCTGCCTGCCACCACATTTTGCTGCAGGTGACCTTGGTCAAGAATGAGTCTCTGCTGATGGGAATTATCATGAAGCTGGCAGCATCCACCTGGCATCCACTGGGCTGGGTATCCTGTCCCACCCAGATTCTCCCAGGGGAGTGGGCCCAGAGAAAGGATGAGGGAGGGCAGGCATCTCAGGTGTCCTGCCCAGCCAGCCTCTGGGATCAGGCCTGCTGTGTGGCTGAACACCGGAACTGAGTTTGGCCACAGCCAGGTGGCCCAGCCCAACCCAAGCCACCTATTTCGATGGAAAACATGCAAGTGCTCGGGAGCCAGGCTCTGTGTCCCAGGACATGGAGGGAACCTGAAAGGTGACGGCAGGGTGGGGGGACAGCTAATGGTGAGGAAGTGTGGCTCTCACACTGTGCACCTGGGGCAGTAGAGGCGGCAGGCAGCCCAGGTGGCTATGAGGGCTCCATGAGGCCACAGTGGAGGGAGCCCAGCCATAGGCTGCATGAATCACAGCATCTCCTGCTACCTGGGAGCCTCAGCTATAGGAAGGAAGGAAGACCTCCAAGGAACTGCGTAGCAGAGGTGCAGTGCAAGAATTTCGATAAAAAATCCAAGGAAGCTCCAGCACTTTTCCCCTTCCTTGCCCAATGGCCATGCAGGCACTTCAATCCCCAGCCAAACAGGGCACAGGGCAAGACTGGCCACCCAGCTGGATGGTCAGGGCAATGAATGAAGCAGATCAGGGAAAGGTGTGTGAGGACCTCCGATTCCACCTGCTCAGACCCCCACCTTCTGTGCTGCCTCCTGCTCCCAGGGCAGGGTCTCTTCCCTGGCCCTCAGGGAGGAGATGGGATGAATGGAAAAGGGGTCAGGACCAAGCTGCCTGCCAGCCTGGTAGGAAATGGGAACTGGAGGAGGTTTTGCTCTGTGAAATAATGCCCCCTCCTTGGGTGAGCAAATGTCACCCACACTTGTTCCAGGTCTCCCTGGGGCAGGGCTAACCTATTTGAGCCACAGAAAGGAGGCAGTGTTCCTGAAGAAGCTTTTACTATCCACAAAGACATTTTAGGAGGTGTTAAAACCATCTCTATCCTCTCCTCTCCACAGGAAGCCTTGCAACTGAAGGGAGGCAGTCCTTGGCCTCTGCAGCCGACCACATGAAGGTAGTGCCAAGCCTCCTGCTCCCCATCCTCCTGGCACAGGTGTGGCTGGTACCTGGCTTGGCCCCTGATCCTCAGTCTCCAGAGGCCCCAGCCCCTCAGAACCAGACCAGCAGGGTAGTGCAGGCTCCCACGGAGGAAGAGGAGGATGAGGAGGAGGCCAGCAAGGAGGATGAAGCTTGGCTGACAGCCAATGAGCAGCAACTTGCAAAGGAGACTTCAAACTTCGGATTCAGCCTGCTGCGGAAGATCTCCACGAGGCACGATGGCAACATGGTCTTCTCTCCACTTGGCATGTCCTTGGCCATGGCAGGCTTGATGCTGGGGGCCACAGGGCCCACCAAAGCCCAGATCAAGAGAGGGCTCCACTTGCAAACCCTGAACCCCACCAAGCCCGGACTCTTGCCTTCCCTCTTTAAGCGACTCAGAGAAACCCTCTCCCGCAATCAGGAACTGGGCCTCGCCCAGGGGAGTTTTGCCTTCATCCACAAGGATTTTGATGTCAAAGAGACCTTCCTCAATTTATCCAAGAGGTATTTTGATACAGAGTGTGTGCCTATGAATTTTCGCAATGCCTCAGAGGCCAAAGGGCTCATGAACAATTACATTAACAAAGAGACTCAGGGGAAAATTCCCAAACTGTTTGATGAGATTAATCCTGAAACCAAATTAATTATTGTGGATTACATCTTGTTCAAAGGTACTTTGATAATGTTCTGCTGTCTCAAGGCCACAGGGCCCTATGACTGTCTCTCCCTTTCCTTCCGTTAGGCCAGCATATGGTTAACGCTAAGTGATTTTCTATGAATATGTTTCCAGGTTTCACAAACAGATTAATACACATACTGAATAGTGCCAGATGCTGTCATTTGAGGCCCTGCCATAGTATCCCATGTGCTTGTAGTGCTTATAATTTTCAGAGCACTCTACACAGCTCCCCTTTAATGTTTAGAAGCATAGGATCATTCCAAAAAAAAAAAAAAAAAAAAAAAAAAAAAAAAAAAAAAAAAAAAAAAAAAAAAAGACCGCAGGGGATTATCTGAGAGATTTAGAATTGCACCATTGCTCCTTCATTTTTACTTTTTCGACCTGGAGCAAGTGACAAACTCTCTGCCCTTAGATTCTAATTATAGAAAATAGGGACACCCCAGCTACTATAGAGGCTAAATGAGACACTGAACATAATGTACCCAGATGTGCTTGGCACATAATAGACACTGAATATCTATTAGCTCTGTTTATTTCATCTTCCTAACTGCCAATCAGTAGGTAGAGTAGGAGTTGTTGTCTCCTTTCTAAAGATGAAAGCAGCTCAGAGAGGTTAGCTTGATAAAGTTCACGTAATAAATGGTAGAGGCAAATCCCAAACAAAGGCCTCCTGCCTCCCTAATGAGGCACTGGATGTGGGTTGGATGCCACTTTCGCAGAGCTGGTACCAGACTTGGAAAGCCCAGGCAGGGGAAGCCACTTTACAACCAGCCAGGACACACCCCCAGGGCAGACATTTGGGTAAAGTCCTGCACCTGCCTGATGGTGGCCTCTGCATTGTGGGGCCCCTTCTCTCAGAACCACACTAAACAGTGGGTGGGTGAGAAGTATCACCCCTGCCACCTTGGACTCTTGAGTGTGCTTGTGCCTGGTATGAATGAGACAAAGTAGCAGTCAGAGGAACCAGGCAAAGGCTGTCTTCTCTAAGCTGGGCCAACTATGAAGGAATGACTGTGAATTCTGTTCAGGTCCAGGACAGGGAGGGGAGCCAGGGATTGTCGGGAAACTTTTCCTTTCTTTCGTGTGCAATTCCAATAGGGCCTGTGAGTGGAGCTGTATTTTACTAGCTGGGTTAGAGGCCAGAGAAAGTCCTGTCATTTGAGGCTTTGAGGAAGTCTATTTTGCCTGCCTGAGCTGTGGAAAAGTGAACCCAGTTAGGAACGCCTTTCCTAGTTGGAACAAGAAGGGAGATAGAATGCTCCCTATTATTTGAGCAAGAACAATGCTTTTCAAAGAGGGGATTGTTACAATGAGTTCTTCTCTTACTTGTTCAGGGAAATGGCTGACCCCATTTGACCCTGTCTTCACTGAAGCTGACACTTTCCACCTGGACAAGTACAAGACTATTAAGGTGCCCATGATGTACAGTGCAGGCAAGTTTGCCTCCACCTTTGATAAGAATTTTCGTTGTCATGTACTCAAACTGCCCTACCGAGGAAATGCCACCATGCTGGTGATCCTCATGGAGAAAACGGGTGATCACCTCGACCTTGAAGACTACCTGACCACAGACTTGGTGGAGACATGGCTCAGAAACATGAAAACCAGGTACAACTCTTGCCCATACCCTATACAAACTCTACCTTTCCATACTTGCAAACACTCAGCACAATTTCATTGAATGCACTGTGGTTTAATGCCCATTCTCCTCCAGTGACTTATAAGCTTCTTGAGGGAAGCATAGCATTTTTTTTCCACTCTATCCCCAGCATCTGTCAGAGTGCCTGACTGATTCATTCATTGAGTCCACCAGTACTTCATGTTCTGCTACTGTGATAAAAGTACGATGCCAGGGATCCATCAGCAAACAAATCAGGCAAAAGTCCCTGTCCTCATGGAGCTTATGTTCTATTGAAGGAAGACAAACAGTCCATTAAAAATAGGTAATAATGCAGGGAAAATGGCTGCAATACTGATTCCATGGCTATCGCTTCTGAATTCTGTGACCCAGGTTCTGGCAGAGATAAGTCCAGCTAAATGTCCCCAGAATTAGTTTTATCTTCATTATTCCTCTTCCATTTTTCTTCATATCTTTAGCACCTAACAAAGAACCCCAAACCCTAACAAAGCCCTCAATAAATGTTTGCTGAATGAATAAGTTTATAATCTTCAAGACATGTCATGTCCTCAATTATGTTCCAGTCTGACAGCCTGGACCAACTGTGCAACAGAGAGAGAATAAAGAAATAGTGTGTAGGTGGGAGTTCATACTTCCCAAGGCCCTACTACAGTATACAGCAGACACTGCTCTGGTACTTAACGTATAATATTCCTCTGAGCAATCCTGTAAAATTGGTATCAATATTTTTGTCTGCACTTCACAGATTAAGAAATTGGGACTTTAAAAAGACTAAATTAGTATCAATTTGTAGTTTTCACTTTTTTTTTTGAGCAGGAGAACTCATCTTTTGAAGCAACATATTTTAAAAGACTCCAGTATACAAAATAGATGATATTAAGAGTTTATCTCGCTAAAGATGGGTAGGGGTTGAAAGTTTTCTTTACTCTCCTCCGCATCCATCCCCAGACTCCTGGAGTCTGCAGAATCCAGGAAGTGAAAACAGCCATTATCCAGGAGACTGCAGGATTGCTGAAAGCAGCTGTCAATTCAGGTTGTTTTTAAAATATAGGGAAATGAACACATAGGTACTTTGCTAAAGAGAATGTAAGTCATTGGCTAAGGAATGAAACTCATTCACTGAAGCTGAAGTACTATTTGATAAGCTAGAAATATTTTCCCTGAGACAGACCATTGTAAAAGAATGGCGTGAGCTACATAGTCAACTGAAAGACTCATTAATGAAAATAATCTTAAAGAAAAAGAATTGTGACCTTTTTAGTGTCCATAGACTATGGCTTTGTCTACATTTCACTGTTATCTGTTCTTGTACCACAGAAACATGGAAGTTTTTTTACCCAAGTTCAAGCTAGATCAGAAATATGAGATGCATGAGTTGCTTAAGCAGATGGGAATCAGAAGAATCTTCTCACCCTGGGCTGACCTTAGTGAACTCTCAGCTACTGAAAGAAATCTCCAAGTATCCAGGGTAAGTTAGGATCTTTCATCAGAGCCCAATCTCAGCAGGAAATGTCACGAAAACAAATGTTTTTACAAACCACTGAACTTTGATAAAATACTTAACTGTAGTAGAAAATTAGATTTAAATCCCAAATACTTGAAATTGTACCCAGGTTGGATGTTTTAAGAATTCTAAGCGACTTCATTAAAATACCTAATAAATCTATGTAATTTAAGTAGATCTCTCTCCCTCTGCTTAAAGTGCTTACAGAGAAATTTGCCCTTGAAATGGAACTGGTTTACAGATTCGTCATCATTTATGTTGAAAACAACTTGAATAGTTCATGAAATTACACCACCTTTACCATGATACCTAGACATCATGGATCCCAGCTTCTCCCTCCTTGTGAAAATCCCCTCCATAGCCCTGTAAAACAGCCCTCCAACTTCTCTCTCTTCCTCTTCATGCTTCCTGTGACAGGAAACTCACCATTTCTTTGAAAAGCTGCCCAGTCCACAAATGGCTAAAATTGATATATATAGAGAGAGAAGCCTGTAACTTCTACCTCATACTTTCTGGTACTAGTTCTATCTCTAAAAGTACTAAGAACAAGTTCAGTCACCATCTACATAGAATCCCTTCAGTTACTCAGTGTTTCTCATTGGAAGGTTTCTTGGTTTTGAGGGGAACTGCCTGTTGTCCAGAGCAGTTATGTGTGTTGCAGGAACTAGTTAGCATTGCTGGCCCGTGGTCACTAATGCCAGTTGGAAACTCCAGTCATCACTATAAAAATGCTCCTACACGTTTCCAAATGGCAGCTACACCTCTATACATTCTTCCTTAGCTGTGGGGCTTAACATTTTCTCATACAATTACAATTTTCAATCCAAGAGAGACTGAAAATGACATCCACTTAAGTAGGACACAGTAGGACAACCGTGGCCTGGAATCAAGTCTTATCACCTCAAGGGAGATAAGACAATTAAACAATCTACATACCAGCACCTGAAAGTGTTTCTGCTACAAACACATGGAAAACTGAAATGCACTGCTGGTTTATGAAGGGTCATCAGGAAATTTAAATTGCAAACCATTAAATATTCTCCCCTTGTTTGCACTGGGGAGTTAATTTTCCTCTAGGAAATCAGAGAATTTCCTGGAGTGAAAATCATGTAATTACATAAATGTTTTCATTATCTCTTATAATATAGTAATTATATAGGTATATCACTCACATCCCATCATATTCCTATAAAAAAGGGCCTCCCAAACATAGCAAGCAGTCACAATATAGGCAGCCAGAATTCAGAAAGGTTCCAGGGACCCTTGGGCTTTGCCCAGAAAATGCCTCAGAGTAGTACCAGGTGCTGGGAAGCCAATACAGAAGACTAGCCATTCCCTGCCTCCACCTTGCCTGCCAAAAGGAAAATAAGAGGATTCAAGGGAACCAGGCGGCTTGAAAACCTTTTAGGAGCACCAGCTCAAGAATTAGTAGCATAAAGTACATACTCAATAAACATTTATTTGATGCATGTGTGCATCCTAAATCCACACCCAGAATGTGTTTCACATATTCCACAATACTTCACATTGGGTTCCTGAGGTCTACTCCTATGGCAGTCCCTGGTGCAACCCCAGACCACTCCTCTTAACATAGATGGGCCTGCTCCACTAAATACCAGAAGCATGACCCCACGGTAGGACCACTGTGAAGAATTTCAAGGGGCTCAATTAATTCCTCCTTTGCACTGTCACACAAATGGTTTTTCACATTATTTCCTTTTCCAGGTTTTACAAAGAGCAGTGATCGAAGTTGATGAAAGGGGCACTGAGGCAGTGGCAGGAACCTTGTCAGAAATTATTGCTTATTCCATGCCTCCTGTCATCAAAGTGAACCGGCCATTTCATTTCATGATCTATGAAGAAACCTCTGGAATGCTTCTGTTTCTGGGCAGGGTGGTGAATCCGACTCTCCTATGATTCAGGACATGCATAAGCACTTAGTGCTGCAGTAGATGCTAGTTTCAAGCCTACATAGGATATCAGCAATGGATGGCAGGATAGAGTGTCCCTTTTGTTCTTAACTAGTTTAGGGCGTTCTCAAATAAATACAGTAGTCTCCACTTATCTGAGGGGGATATACTCAAAGACCCCTGGCAGATGCCTGAAACAGTGAATAGTGCTGAACTCTATATATATTCTTTCCTACACATACATATCCATGATAAAGTTGAATTTAGAAATTAGGCACAGTTAAGAGATTAACAATAACAACATTAAGTAAAATGAGTTACTTGAATGCAGGCACTGCAATACAATGACATTCAAAGTAATTATAGAGAAGGCTACTAAGTGACTCACAGGCAAGGAGCGTAGATAGTGTGGAGACATTGAGCAAGGGGAGAATTTGCATCCTGGGCGGGGTGGGACATAGCAGGACAATGCAAGATTCCATTCCACTACTCAGAATGTCATGCCACTTAAAACTTTTAGATTGTTTATTTCTGGAATTTTTCGTTTAATGTTTTTGGACCATGGTTGACCATGGTTAAGTGAGACTGCAGAAAGCAAAACCATGGATAAGGAAGGACTACTACAAAAGCATTAAATTGATACATATATTTTTAAGAAGTTGTGCAATCTGTCTGGTATTTTACCTATTTCTAAGAGTCTTAGTTATTTGGCTGAAGACTAGCTGAGTAGAATATCTTTTCTCTGTTGCTCACATATTTGGATTTTTCAAAAGCTATAGGTGAGAACACTATGTCAAGATAAAGCCTTTGGGAGGAAGGCATGTACACTTCCTCCTTGAGTCATGTGTTTCTCTCTCTTTACTTCTCTGTGGTGCAAAATAAGTGCTTTAATCTATTGTAGAATCATTTCTTGCTGGCTGAAATCAGAAGAAAACAGCTCTAATCAGTCCTGTTCACAGCATCTGCTGCTATGGTGCATCAAATCACTTGGCAGAGGCCACTGGCTGAATCACAGATCATCTACCTTCATTTTACAGAGGAAAGAAACAGGGACCCAGAAACAGTTCCACATTCTTACTTTCATGGGCCCTAGGCACTTTTACCCTTGTAGACTCCTCCTTCTTTCATGTATATATATGTTTTATGGCTGCATTGGTAAAAAGATGAATATATTTGTCTTTCAAAGTTGTCTGTTTAGCTTCAAAGTTGTATGTCTAGCATATGGCGCTAAGCAAAACACCTTCACGAGCCCTTACAGTACTGTCAGCCTTGGGCACTGTGTCTTCGGCATCTAGTGGTTAAGTCATACCTTATATCTCAGTGGGAAGAAAACACTTGTCCAAGGTCTCCCAGGGTGGCAGTGGCAGTCAGAGGCCTTCCTTTCCTGAGTCTAGTCCTCGAGCCCTTTTCACTCTTCCTTCCTTCCATCTAAAACACGTGATGGGGACCAGGTAAACAGAGAGCATGCACTACAGCTACCTGTGGGGGTTAAACAGAACATAAGCACAAACTTTGTCCCAGGGTGAAAAGGGAAATGGCAAATATCCCTGATTTTCCTTAGGCAGTCATTTTCTGTCACAGAAACAGAAGAGAGTATACTGAGTGAATCTTGAATAGAGTGTCAGCTATGTTGATTAAATGCCTAGCTGGATTTCTGTCTGTCTGCTATCTAATGTTTAAACAAATCTAAAATTCATTTATTGATTAGTTGTTTGACTAATGTAATATGAATAGGTAATATTAACATGAGTCTAAATACTGACTTTTCATCATTCCAGGTTATGTATAAAAATCAATCCAGGTTTTGGAATGATGAAAAGTCAGTACTTAGACTGCATAATAAAACAAAATTCATTTCTGTATTAATTCCAAGAGCACTAACTGACACTCATGAAGAGACAGGCAATTCTAGGCCCTAGAGGGCCAAAGACAGAGAACTAACTCCTACATTCCTAAGTCACTTGTTTGTGTTCAGTTAGTCAGATTTGTTTGTGGAAAAAATAGTAGAAAGAAAAATAAAGTAGAATTCAGTCAAATTTCCCACTTTTAAGAAATGAAATCTGGAAAAGAAAGTCTGTGAGAACACAATACCCGCTGAAATCAGTATGGCCAAACCCAGTTATAAAAAGGTGCATTACTGAAGGATGCAAAAGCATGCAGATCAAAAACCTGTCTTCTTCCCACCACATCCACTGCAAGGCAACAACAGCATAATAACTGTATTTAACATATTACTCTTTAAGGTAGAAAATGAACCTATTCTGTATTTTAAACGTATTTTCTAATGTCCCCCACATTTGCTTTAAGAAGTTCCTAAGACACTCAGTTTCAGATTTCTCAAGTACACAGGCATGACTGAAAAATGCAGACCAATAAAAAATGTAACTTACCACACACACACACACACACACACACACACACACACACACACACACTGGGTTTCCGACTTAGCAGGGGAAATCTTAACATTGTACAAGTCCTCACTACATGTGTCAAGTTTTAAAAATTGTTCCTGCCGGGCGCGGTGGCTCATGCCAATAATTCCAGCACTTTGGGAGGCCAAGGTGGGTGGATTGCAAGGTCAGGAGTTCAAGACCAGCCTGGCCAAGATGGTGAAACCCCATCTCTACTAAAAATACAAAAAATTAGCCAGGCGTCATGGCATGTGCCTGTAATCCCAGCTACTTGGGAGGCTCAGGTGGAGAACTGCTTTAAACCTGGGAGGCGGAGGTTGCAGTGAGCTGACATAGTGCCACTGCACTGCAGCCTGGGTGACAGAGCAAGACTCTATCTCAAAAAAAAAAAAAAAAAAAAAATTGTTCCTACACTCAACCATACACTCTCATACATACATGCTGTAACAACTGAGAACAGGTTACTGAATTAATCTAATTCATTTTATCCTCGTTGTAAAACTTCTACTCAAGCTGAAGAGTCTGTTTCATTTCAAAGATTTCTCATACATCCACCAATTGTATGGCAAAACTGACTCATCTCCAGACTAAGATATTCAAGCTCAGGAAATCAAATAATAGAAATGATTTTTTAAATGTATATGAGGTTATAAAGAAAAATTTTATGTGCTCCTTATTCAACCTCTATTAAGTAAAATCCTTTAAAGCCCTATCTCCATTTCTGTAGTAAAAGTTTTTTTGCTTATAAGGCTAACTAGTGAAATTTGTGGACTTATTCTTAAAAATGCAAGTTTTAATCATTAACAAAATGATGATGAAGATGTCCTTTTTCCCTACAGGTACAGATGGAGGGAGATTTTTCTTTGTCATGCAACTAGTTTAAAGAATCAATTTGATAAGTTGTTAAACTGAGAACTCTCACAAAAGTATTCATCTTGTTTCTGGTATAAATGGAGATACGTGTAGATATTCGTAACTGTCACCAATTCGTTTTTTATTTTGTTTCTATATAGCTGTCCTTGGAAGTATAATTTTAACAAATATTTCAAAGATTTTAGGAAATGTCATGTTCTGTTAAAAAATAACTTCTGGCCAGGTAGGGCGGCTCACACCTGTAATCCCAGCACTTTGGGAGGCCGAGGCTGGCAGATGATGAGGTCAGGAGTTCAAGACCACCTTGATCAACATGGTGAAACCTCGTCTCTACTAAAAATACCAAAAAAAAAAAAAAAAATTAGCTGGGCATGGTGGCGCATGCCTGTAATCCCAGCTACTCAGGAGGCTGAGGCAGGAAAATCACTTGAACCCAGGAGGTGGAGGTTGCAGGGAGCCAAATTGTGCCACTGCACTCCAGCCCACATGACAGAGCAAGAATCCATCTCAAAAAAAATAAATAAACTTCCATAAGTAAATTTGATTAACTGTTTTGATAATTTAGTGCCTAGGAATAAGACTGCAACTGACTGCTCTACATTTCTGAACTTTACAAGTAGTAGCCATTTTTCTCTGTCAAATCATTTTCCCCTTCTCTCATTTGCATGATGAGAAATAAAAATTTACAATTCTGCTAAATTCACTATTTAACAAATAAATTGAAATTCTCCATTTTATTTAACAAAATGCTGACTATAAATCAAAGCACCAGAAAAACTGATGCAATTTTGATGTCTCATTATGTACCAAATTCTCCAGATCTTAATATATTCAATTCCACATTACTGGTGCTAGTAGGAGACATAATGAAAACAGTTAAATGAAATCCACAGTGAGTGTGAGTGTATTGATTACTTTACCAGTACTGTCAAATTTCTCATACCTACTGAATTTTAACCTGACAAAATGAATAATAACAATTCCATTTACCTGGTTGTCCTTTGGCAAAGGATATTATTAAGAATCACTAAAAATAGCCAAAAAGAAGCCATAAGGAAGGAAAAAGGAAAACAAATGGCATGAAAAGATCTCACACTGAGTAACCGTGCTCTTATAGTTGACGCTGGTATATTTCTCTTATTCACTACCTACAAATGAACTATCTTACTCTTTAATTATAGAATAAAAACTGCAGGAAAGTATTTAAAACTTTTTTCACAAACACAGGTATCTTATTAACCTATGTTTTATTTTGAGTAAATTCATTATTCATCATTTCACATTATAAAAATTAACCTCACACACATGTGCATTCACAAATTAGATCATCTTTACCATACACTGATATATTTAAAAAAAACAAATATTTTCTAGTATCAATATAGTTATATGCTTGATTTTGAAATAGAGAAGCTGACAATAGCTTCATACAGTATCTCTCAAGAACTGACAGTTTAAAATTAAGACTGTATATGTTCCACAGGCAAATTTAGATGGAAATATTAGCATTAGTACAAACAAATGCTGTTGACATAGCTTAAGCATGATAGCTTGGAATAACAGCTGATTCAGACTAGATTCATCATTTTAAATTAAATAAGGACAAGTACAATCTAAAATGTAAACAAAGTATTTATAAAATAAATTCTCTAGGAAATAAAGAAAATCATCAATCTATTATTTTTAAGGTATTTATAGCTCAAAGTTATCAGAAATCTTTGTGGAATTTTCATTGCCAAATTTAAATTTGGGAATGTCTGGGTACAACATATTGTCTCCACAATCCGGAGGGCTGCCAAAATCGAAGACAGCTATTTGCATCCTTTCAGTGTGACTTTTCAAGTGGGCTTGGAGAGTCATGAGAAAATGCAGTATCTTTCTTACCTTCTAAGTCCCCTTCCAAGTGATTATCAAGCTAGGACAATTTCAGCTGATGTAGACTTTCATAGAATTTTTAAATGCCAAAACTCTAGAACAATTAAATAGCTGGTTTCCTGCACAAATAAATGCAGACTTGTCTCTTTTGCAGCAGTGGTTAAAGCACATACCTAGAGATGTTTTTCATTACACTTCACTATAACATTGGAATTCTGTAACCACATTATTACTCAAAAAGTATATATTATACCTCCTAGGGAATCTAATTTGAAACATGGAAAGTACATCAGCTGTCATTATATCTCTCTTTCTGCTCATTAACAACAACAAACAAAAACCCCCAAAATTTAAGAACAAAGCCCCAGCCATTGCTTTAGCTTTTGTGCACCAATCACATTATCTCCTGCTGCCTTTGTTTTGCCTCCTTCATCAAGCAGTTGATTTAAGGATTGGATTTTCTGGATTTTCTTTGGGAGAAGAGGGGGAGTGGGGAAGGAGGGAGTGAGAAAGGGAGAAAAAGAAAGAAAACATGAAAAATGTTATTCATATAATGTTTACAAAGTAAATTAAAATATTACTTGGAATAAATCTAATACATGAGAATTCTCTTAATAGAAAAAATGAATTACACATTAAAGATTATTTAAAATTATCTTTAATTACCAAAAATTCTGTGTAAATCTAACATAGAATTCAATTTAATTCATACTTTCTTACATTTTTAATTTTGTATAACCATAATGGAAGTTACACAGACATAAATATATGAACTGCCTTAAAAGACAAAGATATAATACAGATCTATGCTTCCTTTAAGATGCCAATATTCCTAAATACCAAATGTGTCATCACAAGGACCCTGAAAAGCTGGAGAATGTATTACATAGAATTTGAGAAGCAAAAACTGAGATAATTTATACTCTCCAAAATCACCTCACAGGCTTATTTTAAATAAAAAGAATATATTTTCATTTGGATATGGCCTGCTTTGAATTGTGGATACTATTTCACAAGAACAACCAACATGGGTATCATCACCCATCCAGCCATGTGGCAGTGTGCAGTCAAGAGGGATCCATATAAATGCCACATCAGATGGAAATACAGTTACAAGCTTGTGTATCCAGTTACATGTTAAAAAAGCAACTGTAGATATCAACATTCCTCATTTAGAATCAGAAAAGAAAAAATACACCCGATGTGATTTGTTATCAAAATGTTTGTTTCTAGATTCACTTTTTAATCAATTTTACATATATATAAATTATATAAATAATTACACATTATTTAGGTTGAACAAGAGAAAATTCAGTCTATAAAAAGGAAAAGCTTGCTCAACAATGAAAGAACAGATAAAAGGAGTAATCTGAAATAAAGGAGAACTGGCATAAATATATTGGGTTTCAATGATCTTTACTGTAAAAAATGCCTGTGGCATTTAAAAATATATAGTAAGTGGACAAGAGAATATATTACTTTTGATGTTGCTAAATAACATGAACATAATTCCTCAACAGAAGTATTTCAGGGCAAACTTTTGAGAGGAAGCAAACTTAGGGTAAGAAAGAAGATTTCAGGATGCCAGAGCTAGAAGTCACCTTAGAAGAGGAACCATGAGGCGGCCCTGTCATGTGACAGACATGCACAGTGAGGACCAGTGTGCTGAGCTGAACTTTGCACAGCCACTTAGCTGCTGCTGGGAAGGAGGCACACAAGTCTCATGCTCTCTATACACCATTACCATGCCCTGCCTCTGCTTTCATGACTTTGAGACCGAGTTTCATTCTTGTTGCCCGGGCTGGAGTGCAATGGCATGATCTCGGCTCACTGCAACCTCTGCCTCCTAGGTTCAAGCAATTCTCCTGCCTCAGCCTCCTGAGTAGCTGGGATTACA